CTCTCAGTTCTACATACATTTAGTAGAAAGATACCTTTCAATTTATTAGGTGTCACTTTTGCGAATGGTCTTTTTTATTTCAAGGGAAGAGTCTGTTTCTGACAAGCACAAACGGCAAAAGATATACACAGCCGACGACATTACATCAACACAAGCGAATAATTTCATCTCTACGTTAATTGTTTGAAGCCTAAATCAAAAAATAATACTATTGTCAGTTGCCTTTGAATAGTACTGAGCAAGAAACCCCTTACGTTAATTGACTAACTGACCAGTGATTAACTGTATCTAATTTTGCCCAGCCATGGCCGGTTTAACTTATCAGTGATGCGCATCAGAGCAAATTGTGGTTTCCTTCCAAACAAATTGTTAAGAATTTCAAAAAAGAAAAAAAAGAATATTAATGCCATATTATGACACATTGTCAGGTCAATGTTACGTATTAACACGCACTCACTGTGCGAATGAGTCTACCAAATTTTACTTTTTTAATCAAGATGATAAAAGACGCGTAAAAAACTAATGAGAGGAATGTGTTGAGTGTGTGACTATTGGAATTAGTAATGCACATTCAGGGGTTACAGGAAAGAGAGGAACTACTGTAAAGAAACAGCTACGGATATTACTATAGGCGAACAATGTTGTTGATAATTATCAGCATATGAAACACTTTCATGCACTGTCTCAAAGATTCATTATTGTGGTGAGCACATTTAAACTTCAGGCAAAAGAACGAGAAAGATGGTAAAACAGCTTTGATTTGCGCCCAACTCACCCATCCGATAACTTTTTATTGGACCCCAGGTCAAGTACAAAATTTCATCAAAATTTTGATGTTTGGTGTTTATTTGAGAGATACATCGTTTCGGTTATTTAATTTACGAAACATGCACTACAAATAATTTATAGAAACGGCAATTCCAGAAATAAAAACGTTCTCTGGGTTAACATAGAGTCCTTACCATTGAAATATTCGTAGTTATTCGCGAAAAGATTCGCTTTCACAAACAGTTGTGTAATATAAATAAAGGACAGTAGTGTGCAGAAAATGTTTGCGTGAGACTATTTTTCTTTTTGACAAACAGGTCAAGATTGTCAGTAACATAACCAAAGAGGTCTTAACTCAAAGCGTTCAGAAACACAAAACTGGTCATTGCTCTTCTTTTGGTCTTCAAGAAGAAGATTCGTGATCGACGAATCGCTAAGGGTAAAAAGTTATCATATCGCTCTCACTGTCACTGTTTAGAAAACACTGCAAGGTCCATTCGACAAAAACTCCGCACAATCTTAAGTCTGAGAGAAAACGTGATATTTGTTTGATGCAACGTAACAGGAAGTTAAAATCGTATTTTTCTTCTTGGATAAAAGCAAAAAAACAACTGTCATCAACATTATTAGTGATGTACTGCACTATTGAAACAGCTCGACTCATGGTCAACAGTAAACTGGTCCGAACACGAACCAAAGTCGACACAAAAGCTAAAATCTCAACTCCACACGTAACTTACTTATCATTGCGTTACAGCGACTTGTTCAACAGGTGCTTGGAACAGAAAAGTAATCCTTCGAGCTTAGATATATGGTATTTTCCTGTAATTTCGATTCCCTGCTCCTGCCGACTAAATTAAATAGTTTATCAATATTGTAATACCACCAAACAAATTCACGTCTCTTTGCAAATTAGGGAAGTTTTGTCGAAACTCTAAAATTCAAATAGAAATAGGTCGCAAGTATAATACCTTCTCTATAGTTTATATATGGCTTTATACATTTCTCTACTCGGCCGGGATTTCTCAAATTTAAAACTTATGTCGTGAGTTCGCTCTAAAAATTGGAAAACATCCACCTGCGTTATTGTTTGCCCAAGTACAAAAAGCACCTACATGAGGAAAAAAATGCGTACTGTTCCTTTCAAAACTAGCACTGAGATTTCTTTGCAAATATTGATTTAACTTTGGGCATTACAGATGCGTCCAAGCTGCCCTATTTATAGCTTTGACTAAACCAGTTGAACCGCGCAAACATTCAGGGCTCTTCTTGATTACGACAGTGTTTCGTTTCTTCGTTTTAACAGTTGTAAAATATTGCGAACAAACCAACGGTAAATTGAAGGACCTGATTCTAATACAAACAAAAATTAAGTAGCATAAATATTAAAAGCTAGAAAAAGTCTAAAATTTAAGCCCCGATGAGTGGAAATAATTTTTTGTGACTAATAAAAAATTAACTGAAATACGTACCAACAGATTTCGTATGATTTCTTGCATTGGCATTAGATATCCATGATACCGTTCAATTTGCGCAGCCGTTAAAACGCATATAAAGACATGGTTGATCAAACATTTTAAAATATCCTGAATAACTCATAAATTTATATACCTTCATAAGGCTCTTATAATTTCTTTTTTCGGTTTTTTTTTTTTTTTAATTTTTTCGTGGCGTACCTGTAAACTAGCTTTTTAGCTAAGCGTACCGACCACGTTAAATATATTGATTGATTGAATTGAATAACGTTTTTCTCATTTCAATACAGCAACCTCCTTTCTGTTCTCGTGGTATTCCTGGTATGCACGGCAAGCCTGGGATTCCTGGGCACCAGGTCGTGATGGCCGTGATGGCCGTGATGGCCGGGACGGAGCCAAAGGTGACAAGGGCAGCCCAGGAAAGACTGGACTCAGGGGACCTCCAGGAACTCCTGGTATCAATGGAAAGAATGGCACCAAAGGAGAAACTGGAGTCCAGGGCCCTCCAGGTCAAAAAGGGCAGCGTGGAGAGAGTGGAACAAGTGGAACCAATGGAACTCCTGGTGTGATGTCTTATAGGAACTGGAAAGAGTGTGCATGGAAAAGATAACGGTCTGATCAAGGTGATTGATTTTTGTAGAATACAAAAAAACTTTGTTTTTTTATAACAGATCATAACAAACACCTGCTTTCTCAGCCATTTCTTTGTGATAGCTAATCATATTGCAAAACAGAAGGATTTATGTGGAAATTAAACGAAATAGCAATACACTGGCAATAAGAACACAATCACATTCTTCCTCTGTGTTTCAATTGCATTTTCGTGGTGGTTGAGGTCGTGTTAAGTGATTTCACTTCCTATTACCCTACCCATAAATAATTTTTCGATTGTTGTTGTTACATGATCAGTTACTGATTCCTTTCATTTCTATTGTCTTTCCATTCTGTTTAGGAATGTTTGTTCACCAAGAACTTCTCTGACACTTCCCTCCATGTTTACTGGACGGGTGAGTTTAGAGTCTACAACTGTGACGACTGCTGCTTACGCTGGTATTTCACTTTCAACGGTGCTGAATGTTCAGGCCCCCTTCCAATTGATGGTATTGTCTACTTGTGGAGAGGAGGTGCTAATCTGAATCCCCATCGTGTCCGCCATATTGAGGGCCACTGCAACAACATCGACAAAGGCAAGGTGCGCGTGGGATTCTGGGTCGGAAATTGTGCCGGATACAGTGGACATTATGACGCCAAAACAGGCTGGAATTCAGTGTCCCGGATCTTTTTGAAGAAGTTCCTAAACCCCAGGCTTAACTCCCGAAACAAAACATCCATTCCTGCATAAACGCTTATAATGGGACATTGATTATATAACGAGCTGTTTCTTTGATACTCTGATGTGCTCTGCAAATTTCTTACGTTTGTTGGTTTTAAATAAAATGCAGAAAAATTGAGAAAGGGATGGTTTCTCTTTGTATAGCTTTTCTTTCTTGTTGCTTCAGACAGAGCTGCAGTGCTTTGTTTGTAAATTACATGCCATTTCATAAATTCCGTTATTTGTGGGGTGGGGGTTGGTCGTTTTATTTCCATGGAGCTGATCTAAGACTGATCTCTTATCGAAAAAATTGATGAACTGATTAAAGAAGTAACAAGTAACAAATGGGCGCAATGCAAGCACTAAGCAAAAGCTAAAAACACTAGGATAATGTTTTCATGAAGTGGAAAAGTAGAAAACTGACCGAAAAAAAAAATACGAATGGCTCTGTCCAGTATCGATCATCTCCCGTCTTCAAAACATTAAAAACAGGCTTGATTTTGCCTAAAGAGCTGATTTGTACGTATTAAAGTTTATTGACCCCTACTGCGCGACTCGGAAATTTTCTGCAACTTCCGAAAGCACATGTAATAATAATCTCTAATTTTACTCGGCCTCATGTGATAACCCGACACTCCTCTCAACTCCACTCCATTCCATGCACGTTAATCATTAAGTGCTTTTAGTATCCAATGTTATTTTTTGGTTGCTAATTGTTTGTGTTTGAATATAAAAAGCCCAGTGAAAGAGGGCTACATACGCTAAGCTAAGTACACCGTACAGCCGGATAAACTAGCCTTAGGAATACCCCAATCGTATCTTGATAAGTCACGGAAAATCTCCTTAAACCGCAAAAAAATTGCCATAATTGTTTAACAACTTAGGTCTGTTTAAGTTTATACCAAAATGGAAAAAAAAGAACCTATTGATTTCAGACCAAACCAGCTAGGAAAAACACATTACCTTTGGGGTGCATGGCATAAATGCGTATAGCTTTTGTATAGGAAAGCAATATAATCCAACTACTGAAAGGGTATCACTTGGGAGACTTGAGGCCTGACGTAAGGTCAAAAAGGAGGAAGAATTGGCCGTATAGGTTGTCAGCGAACTATTAAAAAGTTAATATGGACTCACAATCCATTGGTACGGCATTCACTTGCATAACAGTGTTTGGATTGAGGAGTTCCATTTATAGATATCGATTCATTATTGATTCTCTGGGAACATATTGTTATCATCCTTGGAAAATATGAAAGAACCCTCAATAGCGGTAGAATAATTTTTCGCAGGTCATAAGTAAATGGCGTTATTTTTAAATTTCTGTGCGACTATAGAAACGTACCACCCTCCTCTATCGAAATCATTTCCTCAGAGACGCCTTTATCACATTATTTCAGTATCTGGGGCCTAAAAAGTTAATTGTCAATATTCAAAACTTTGCCAACTAACACAATAGCACTCGCTATATTATAAATACTCCAACAATAAAAAGGCAAAAAACGGACCGGCGTGGATACAAAATAAAAAAAATGTGCTGAAAGAACTTAAGTACTGGGCTTTTTTATCTTACACTTAGGTCCTGTCTAATATTCAATGCAGTTAAAGTCCTGTATGTCCGAGGAAAATGATGATCATTGTTTGTTGTTTTTCGGAATCGTTCGCGTATATCTTGTTAGCGTGATTTGACAATCCATTCCACAGCTCTCTCATATCCATTCAACATGGTGACTCTACGGCAATTCAGCAGCCACTTGGCGGGAAAGACTCGATTTTGGCAGCGAAGGAAGTTGCGTGCAATCAACCCATTATACTCAGCTACTGATTTCCACGTGCGCTTGTGCTTGCGCTCGTGCGCCGCTTCAGAGATCAGCAAAGCAGCGCGGAGGAACATGATAAACTCTTCACTGTGGTCGTGGTATTCCGCGAAAGCTTGCCTCGCGGTAGAATTCGCAATTGCCCAATTTTTGGTGTCTTCAAAGACTTTTCTGCGAAAGCTATCGCCGGGAACCATGTTGTGAGCACGTATCTTTGCCTCTTCCATCAAATTTGTAAATTGAATCCAATTCTGGAACTCGGTGACAATGACTGAGGAAGGGTTACTGGGGTTTAGCAGTGGCTTGTACATGTCCAGTAGATTGGCCAGTGGCACATAGTCAGCAATGTTGGATGTGGTCACTCGGTCGTACTTCCGATCTGGGGGAAGAAACGGAACCATCTCCAAGCAGTTGCACAACAGGAACTGGAACGTCACCTGTCCCGTGGCCATGTTTAAGGCGCATTTCTTAAGAACGAGACTCACATAATCGCTGTACATCTTAAGAATTGAAGCAGACTGACTCAGTTGTTGGACGTCTTTGTAGTCCCAACATGTGAATGGATTAACACTTGACTGAAGGATATAAGAGAAAGCACCCATATTGCGACTGATTTGGAAGTCTGAACCTGTGAGGGTAAAGTTCTCATGAGGAAGCGCGCTTCTAGATTCTCTGGGTAACAGAATCCCGTTTGCAAACCAGTCAGATGCGGATTTCTTATGTTGCTTTGGGATTTCTTCTAAGTAGAGCTTCATTCCGATCTTAGCATCATAACTATCAAAGCGCCTGCGTCGGGCCTCTGTAATCCAGTCTCCTGAGCGAGAACTAAGATCAAGCCAAGTACGCCACACCTTTCCAAGTTTTTGGAACTGGTCTTGGTTCATCTTCATCGCGCCTCTTGTCAGCTCTTCAAGGTTAGATGCCTGGATCAGTTCTTGAAGTGTGCGGATAACAAGCTGCTGGTCTTTTCCACTGAGTCGCAGTGAATACCAGATCTGCGTCACGGAACTTGCGACTTGTTCCCCACCTTTTACAATAAGGGATTTAGAAAGTGGATCAGGGTAGCAGTAAAAAAAAAATTTTTTTCCTAAGCTGTTCTGTAGAAACTGATTTCCTCTTTAAAATACTGAGCAATAAAATGGATTATTTTAGTGAAATAATTAACAAATAGATTCTGCTATATTGCGTTCAACTAGGAAAAAGTGGGAAATAAGTAGAGAATTAAGGGGATGGGAGCGGGACCGATGCCGAGGTGATGGTCAAATTATTGTGCCCGTAAACACGAAGTTTTTATCAATTAACTTTTTCTTTAATAATACACTTGCAAAATTACTTCATTCTGATTGGCTACGAGCAGAGCAGTTCAAGTGTAACACCTGTGCAAATAACAACAAAGATATCCGAAGATATCCCGAAGACAACCGACGGTAATCCGAGATATTCGAAGATGGTCAAAGTTCACCCGAAGCCTTCCGAAGATACTAAAGATAATTAGACGTTTTCCAAGCACTTCCGAAGATCGCTCGTACCCTTCCGAAGATTGAAGAACATCGCTCCCAACATTTTTTGAGCAAAATTCCACAGCCACCCGAACTCTTCCAGGCATTTCCGAAGATCACCTAAGAGTGCCGAAGACTTTCAGACATTGTCGTACGTAAAAAAGGTAACCGCATTAACTTGTAAGACTACAAATTTCACACGCCTTATGGAGTCATGCAATTTTGTTAATCTTTGAAAATTTAACCGTGCTTTTTTATTTCAAATTGCACACGAAATCATGTGATTACCTACACTTATAAAAATCACATGGACTTCGGCGCAGCGAATTCCTAAATAATTAATTATTGCAGAACCAATTCATTTGAAGACGGGTGTCTGGAAAACCCGAATAGCGAATAGCGAATAATCGCGAATAGCGAACAGCGAATAGTCCCGAATAGCGAATAGCGAATAGTACGAATAGAGCGAATAGTGGCGAACAGTCTCGAATAGTGGCGAATAGTGGCAAACAGTGGCAAATAGTGGAAAATAGTAGCAAATAGGGTACCCAGCATCTCGCAGTCAACTTCGTAGCAACTTAGGATGGGATTTTCCCGCTAAAAAGCACAGACGCTTACCAGGATAAAAAATGTTTCTAAACGTAATTTCTTCTGTTTTAACCGCTGCAAAAGCGTAAATACGTCTTTATTAGGTTGTCCTTGTGTTTTCTGTTTTCATAATGTCGGCGATGGACAGCCTACTAGCCTGAGTCCGGAGAAGAAAAGGTAATAAATTCACTGAAATTCTGTTTGTTATTTGGATAATTAATTAACGCTGGATATTAGATCTAAAGCGGCGACTATTGACGACTACTCGTCACTATTCGCCACTTTTCGCGACCGTTCGCCACTATTCGCACTACTGGGGACTATTCGCACTATTCGGGACTATTCCCTATTCACTGTTCGCGACTATTCGCTATTCGCTATTCGGGTTTTCCAGACACCCTTTGAAGACAATTTCTGAAAATGGTTGAAACATGGCCGCTTCAAATTAACACGAGAGGTAGTTGGTCTTTGCAAACTAACCTTTGAATAGCAGATACAGTAAAAGAACCGTCCTGGCGAGAGTGCAAGCGCAGATGTCGTTCAAAACAAAGGTGAGCTCTTCTTGATAAGCTTCAGGAAGTTGCGAGATGGACAGCACGACATTTCGAGGATCACCAACGCCACAAACAAGGGCTGAGAACGGTTTGGAATACTCACAACCTTCGTTCAGGGGAAAATTTATCAGATCCACGGCGGGAATATTACCCCAGTAATAAACAAATGCCGTGCCTGGAGTCAACTTTATGAAGTCGTAATATTTCTTCATCTCATCAGACAGTTCGCTTGTCTTCTTTGTTATCTCGTGACAGCATATTTTGTGCGTCGGCCAGGATTTCTTGAGACATGCCGGACCACAATACCATGCTTTCATGCAACTACCGCACTTCTTTAATCCTGTGCTTTCCTTAGCACACCCAGAACACGTCCTCTTCAACGCAGCTGTTTGGCAATCCACTTGGTGTCGAAACATATCGCTATCTTGACACTTTCGACTGCAGTAGTAAGCCACTTCGCATCTAGTGCAGATCTTGGGAGCGGGCGCTGTACAAATGGTATCACAGCGCCAACATTGGTCTTTCTTGAGCATTTTTACTGCAAAGCCAGTGTTTAATATTCAACGGCTTCTTCAAGAAAGGTTTATGAGCAGTGCTGCTTCCCATGCGTAACAAAGCATCTTCCCGATTAAAGATTTCTAAGAAAAGATTTGGTTTCCGGGAATTCATGCCCTGCGTTACTCCCAAGAGGGGTGCTAAGGGGAAAGCAAGACCCACACAATTTTGGAGGCGGTATCAGCTCGTACTTGTTGCCCCAATATTGGATCTGTGGAAAAATACTATTCTCAGTCCTTCATACTTTCACCAGACGCTGGTCTGGTAGCAGGGATCCAAATTTTGTCGGGGAGGGTGGGGTGGGGGAAGGGGATGGGGTATAACCAGAGAATTGACCGTACCCTGAAAGCTCCTGAAGGCGACTAAAACGATAGTGTTTACATGGAGGATTCTAAAATTCGTACCAAACCAGACGAAAGCCTGGTTCTCACTCTTAAGATAAGCAATAGCATGAACACAACACAAGTACGCTTGTGCTTATCTTACAAGTGTAAACCAGGTGTAGGAAACACACAACTAAGAACACTTCGTGTTTTATGTAAAACCCAAAGCAAGATTATATCCAAATATATATGTTCTCAAAGAACAGGATTAACCACTCTGTTACCACGTATTTCTCAGAATGTCGACGTCGGGGTGTAGCCTGCGTAGCAAGCGTCCCCACACGAGCGAAGAATTTCTCGCCCGCTGGTCAGGCGAAAATTGGGGTGAGAGCATAAAGGGTGGCACTTTAGTGGGAGGGAGGGGTGTGGACGGGGATGTACGTTGTTGGGGAGCGATTCGAACACTCAGACACAATCAGTGACCAGTAGGCAGCCGGATGAACGGATGAAATTAAAGTCGTCAAAATATAAATAGAGAGCACGACCTGTGATAGGACATGAAGGGAATACAACTTTCTTTCTTCTTTCTTTTTTGAAGGAATTCATGTCTTTCATGTCCGGACAGAATGCTGCAATTTTTTCTCCCGACTTTAGGCTGAAAATATCCTGAAAGTACACTTGAACCCTTTGACGCCTAAGTAGTCATATATGGCCACTTAATGGTCGTGCTCTTTGTACCACTTGTGACGTCATCAATTTAAATGTCACCAGATATTATTGATAAGCAGATGGTAGTACTAGGTTAGGCCTTTCCCTACAATGGTCAGGTTTAGATATCGACGACATTCCGACGTCGCAAATCAAAAAAACGTTATCAGTTTTGATGCAAAAACGGTGGTAAAATGGTCCACTATGCCTATGATTGATCAAGGTCCATTTCTTGGCTTCGCCAATAATTAACATCCAACTTTTCATAGACTGTTCACAGTCCCCTATTTTCCCGTGAGATCGTAGATGTCGATCGTTGAGCTCGACGGGCCGCCATCTTGATGTCTTGATGCGAGCGAAACTGGAGAGAGTACAAAATGCCCGTGGGTAGGGGTGGTGGCGGGCACCGCTGTTAATCCCACCGCCACTACTCACGGGCATTTTGTACTCTCCCCAGTTTCGCTCGCATCAAGAGACCAAGATGGCGGCCCATCGAACTCAGCGATCGACATCTACGATCTCACGGAAAAATAGGGGATTGTGAACAGTCTAAACTTTTCACGCAGCCAGAAAGAACATGCAACGCAAAAGGTAGCCAGAGTAAAAGGGCCGAGAAAAAAGAAAGGAAAGGGGCAACAAACAAAATTGAGAACGGGTAATGGCCAAAAAAAAGTGGTTTGTAAAGGCGAATTCGAAGGAAATCTGGGAAAACAATATCCTCTCCTTCTTTTTTCAGAAAATGCTGATGTCAGCATTTTTATTGAGATTCAAGGTTAATTATCCCGAAAAAAAAAAAAAGCGTAGCTACCCCAATTTTTCTTTGTGGATTCCAATAGCCCTTGCAAAGGTCTACTTTTCCCACGTGGTCCTTACCCGTCCTAAAATACTAAAAAATCTTCTTAATGAGAGAACAGTGTACCGAACACAGCACACTTTGTTTCTTGGGTCGACGTATTATTCAAATGATGTCGGTTTATTTAATAATATTTAGGATAAGGGGGCGTCGACATATTCACTCAGTTTTTCCCGTTTACGTCAACTGGAAGTTAAGGTCAGACTCACCTCCCCCTCTCCCCTCAGTTTATAAAATGGCACTAAATGGCGTACTAAGCTTTCGTTTTATTTTCCAGCCTATAACCTTTTCCTGGGCAGGAAACTCGTAAACAGATGAAAGCAAAAATCGTCAAAATTGAGCAGAAAAATGTCTCCACTTCCGCGTTTTTAATCCTTTCAGACACAACAAGACGTTGTCATAACAACAGTAAAAGTACTGGAGCGGAACCGAGAAGCTTCTTATCCCGGATTACATGGATTAGCGAAGGTTTGTGATTATTAAAGGAACGCCTGTTTCGAGTTTTGCACTTCGTTAGCCTCTCATGTTTGTCTCACTGGCGTCTTGGGATTCAAGTGTACACGTGTTAAGATCCGGAGTTCCAATACAAGGAATTAATTTAGAAGGAGATGTGAAGCAACGAGGCCCAAAAATATAGCTGAAATCATACAAACAAGACAATTAAAGTGAATTAGGGAAACAGAAGCTGCATTCTTTCCGTCAGATGCCACTTAATGTCTTTAGTATGTAAATACGTTCCATTGAAAGCGACATAATTGCGACCACTGTTGTCCATTAACGTCCAAGAATAGACTGATCAATCAATAACTTCATGAAGAAAAGGGCTGCCCATGCCAATTTTGTACTGCAATTTTCTCGACCGACATTAGATTTCGGAGGATTTTTGAAGGCCAGTTTGTTTGGATTCGTGTGGCTCATTCGAAAGTTGGAAAACGTCGTCTAAAATCGCAATTACAAATTCATTTAGTGCTAATTATAGTCGCGCTTTGTGTCAGTTGCCTAGCAACGCAAATTAGCAAAGAGAAAAATCAAAGGAGCAGTTCTCAAAGGAAATTGATGCGATGAAATGTGCAGCGAGGTCCATAATTAACACGTTGCGCGGTTGGAATCAAAGGGAATTTTTCGATCGTTTCAAAACAGTATAGCTATGGATTCAGCTGATGAACCCATCGTCGCATCAGACGGCGGCGAAAGAGAACTAATCGACAAGTTACTGGAGTCCGGCGAGAGCCAGGAGATCGAGGAAGATTTCGATCGCGTGGTGAACACAAGTGGCTGGGATGAAGTCGCTTGCGGCTGGAAACACACTGCGCCGAATGTTCGATATATCTCTTCAGCTGGCCCCAAAAAGAAGACGTCGAAGGAAAAATATTGGAGAGTTAGCCCGGATTCGGAGAGCCATTACGCGAAAGTCAAGCGTCTCGCTGGAATGATCACAAATTCGAATTCGAACGTAAACAGCGTCACTGAAATCAACAACGTAAGGGCCGCTGGAAATTGGCCGGGAAACAGGACTCTAAAGACTAACATGCGAAATTTTCAAAACGCTGATGTGTTGTCCTACGATAGCCCTTGCTGGAGATATATAATCGATCCTAGGACGTTGGAATATGTGGAAAGAACTCCACTTCAAGTGCTACGAAACATGGCCACCACCCACAAGTATCCGAACCAAACTCTTGTTCTCGAAAACGGTGGTATGATAACATTTCAGGAAACTAGCAATGGAGGTATCGCAATCAGCGATCCCGCTTTGTCATTCGATCGTCGACTCTTGGAAAACCAGGATCTCAAAGCGGAGTATCGCGTTGAGAAGACTGAGAAGGCCAGTAGGTTTCCCTACAGTTTCGACTCATCCGTCCCTCTTATCACACAGTTCAGATCGGAAGACAAGATCAAAGTGATTCACGCTTTGCCTACATGCACAATCAAAGAGAACCCGATGATTTCTTTCTGCGAGTTATGCAGGTTTAGCACTCGTGATATATCCAAACGTGACTGCAGACTTGAGATTTGTACTAACAGCTCAACAGAGCTCAAACCACTACAAAAGATAACACCGACCCAGAGACAGACAGCAGAGGAAAGCATTTTGGCCAGTAAAGCTTCAGCAGCACATTCCAGATTAAAATCTGACAGTTCTTCATGTTTAAAGCCGTGTAGAAAATTTAAGGAAAATAAAGCTGCGAACCAGAAGCGAAAAACTGGTCCGGGAGGGGAGGGTAAGTTGGACTGGCTTCCTATCACAAGGAACACTATAGGGTACCCATATCCTTCAACTACCCTGAATCAGACTCATAGCAAATTTCCAGAAAGACCATCTGCTGGGTTTTCAAAGGCGTTCTCTCTTCCAAGGCACAACAAGAAGGGAAAGAAACTGACTCTTAGTGAGGCAGCAAATTTAGTTCCCAATAGAGGAAAGCTAGATGATGCACTGGAGAAACTCACTCAGGAACTGGACAGAAAAGTGGACAAGAGGATCAGTTTTTCAGAGCCTCTGTTGCCAAGTGTATCAGGGACAAAACTGGAAGTACCTGCTGGTGCTTTAGCCAACTTCTGTGATAACTGACATGTGTGAATTAACAACCTATCCATTGATTCCCCTGATGGCTATTCTTCAAGATCCTTAATGACAGCTACTTGTACATTGTAGCCAAAACACAAACATCTGCCCAGTAATTAACTATATGCTCTACAAGGTCTTCAGGTTGTGCACTGAATTTTTACCCTTTGAAAGTATCACCGTTACTAAAGCTTTCATTTTCCTTCCTAATACTAAAGTAAAATATTAATAAGCTACATATTTTCTGTACTATTTCAGCAAGAACTTTTTCCAAAGCCTGTGATTATGCCTCTTTTCCCATCATCATTTCTTATCATGATAACATTTGGGATTTAAAATAATTGGGATTATAGAATATACCACTGGCCTTCTGCAGTTGGTACACAGTCTGTAGTTCTTTTTATGACTGTGTCATTAGGGTCGGCATCTTCTAGATGCCTCAGTGAAAGCAGGTAAACCTTTTGAAGATTCTTCAGTTTTTCTCCTGGTATCAATTGACCATCAGTAAGTCTTGTGCATGTAGTTAGTGAATTTTTGTCCCTGATGAAAGTTTCAGTTGACCTTGAGTGGTTTGAATGTAGCGTAAAAATAGCAGGCTCACAGTATCCCTGGGAAACTTTGAAATGCTACAGCTAGCATAAGTTTATTACTCTCAGTCTCTAGAAAAGGTCATAATGCACTGTAAATTATGCAGTTTAGGGAGCATAGTGACAAGATCAAAATCAATGTGAATAGACATGTACATGTACATGTATTTATAAAGTGCACTTTCTGGTTTAGATGATACTGTAAAATAATTGGTTAAAACAGAATATTTTTGGTAGTGTACATGTACATTTTGGTAAATAAGTGCAGATGAAAAGTTCTTTATTTATACACTGAAATAAAATCTTACTCTTCGATAAATAATTTGCAATTGGTGATTTTTTTGGTGAACATAAAATCCACTGCATGTATGCGACTATTTTGTAGCCATGTGTGTTCTATAAAGGGTGTGAAATGTACAGCCTTTAATACCATACCATAGGATCCCAGTTATCAATGATGAAATGAACCAATGACCAATGAGTCCTGTAAGTCTATATCTTATTGCCATTACCGTCATTGGTCAGAGCTACCCGTAAACAGGTCAACCATTATTCAAGATAACATGGTGTTTAGGCTCTCTGGAACATTTCTGAGGCTAACTGGAGCACTATCGAGGCTAACCAAACTGCTTTTTGGGCTAACTGAATGCTATTAAGGCTAATCACCAGTCAACTGGAGTGATCCACAGAGGCGGATCTAGGGGGAGCGTGCAGGGGTGCACTTCCCCTNACCCCTGATCCATGACTAATAACTCACGAATTTCTTAACTTGTATTTCTCGTTACACTCTCTTCCCAACTGATGGACATATGCAGAGGAGTTCAGTGCATATTAAACATCACCTGGCCCATGCACCACTTTCTCTACTAGTAAGTAACTGGTAACCCTCCTCCATTAATGTTGTGTAGAGTGAAAACTTACCGCAAAAAGCCAGTTTTCAAAAGTGACATATTGTGAGAAATTTCCTGGCATAACACAACTCCAAATTAAAGTATTGCAAGGCAACTCTTCAACAAGCACTAGTCTACATGTAAATCAGGGGCAGGGGGAATTTGATGCCTGCAGTGCAGGCATTGCTTCATCACTTGGAGGCTCTGGCTAAAGTATTATGCTAAGGTTTTGATGGATGAGATTTGATCACCAGGCTCTTTTAGAGTGGCTTTCACTTGAGTGTCAAAAGTAATTTGTATTTGCTGTGGTTTTACATTACTATCCTATGTGATTGACTTAAACCAACTTGAACCACTCTGTCATCCGATCAGAACTAACACTAAATAAATCTTGACTTGCTTGCACGCGTACACACCAGCTCCATGTATTTACTTCAAGTTTAGATTAATTCAGTGCATTGTCTGTGTCCTTTGTAATTGGTTAGGATGATTTCTTTGGTTTTGGTTCTGCAACACTCACTCAAAACTGCTCTGTTTTCGTCACTTTGGTTTGCATCATGTAATTGCTTGTCTGGTAATTAAGTATGAAGACATCTTATTCTCCTTGATGCAGCAGGGAAATAAGAGAAGATGCCATTCAAACTCTTGGATGGCATAAAATGAGCTCCACTGGAGCAATAATTACATCTATATAAAGATAACATAAAACAATTTTAATGAATTATGATTTACATTTTATTCAATGCAATATTATTCCTGACCAGTAAATCTACACTGCAAAGTTACAGCATGTGGATGCCAAGATTAACTAGGTTTGTGTTTCTGCACTGGAGACAATGCAGGTTTGATCAAGAATACTTTGACGAGTCTGTGTTTGAGAACTTGTGGAAGTTACAGATCCATTTCTGAACTGTTCATCTGTTTGTGTCACCTGTGCCCAGTGGGTGTCTGTCTGGACACTTGATGACAACAAACTGGAGCAGACAAAGTCACTCTGTAATGTTTGAGTTTGCGAGCTGGCAAATTCAGTGTCATCAGCAAGCTCACTGAAGTCTGACATCACAATGGATGTTTGTGTGTGAATGTCAACCAGGTCATCATTGTAAACAAACTCATTTCCACTATTATCCAGACCAGGTGACGTAATCGATGAGAAATCCGTGAACCAAGTTTGAGTCTGCGACTCAGTCAGTTCAATATCTTGAGTGTCAAATAGATCATCCAGAAGGGTGTGCGTCTGAGTTCCAGAGTCAATTGAGCTGTTTGCATCAATGCCCAGCAAGGAAATCAAAGTCTGTGTCTCGTTGTCCTCAAGGGGAACCTGTTCCAAGCCACACGTCTGAGTTTGCGCACTGCTTAAGGGTCTTAAGTCACTTAGTGCCAAATCAGTGCTTGTAAGATTGGTTTGCGTTTGGATATTTAAACACAATGGGTCAATATCAAGTGTCTGCATTGAATTTTCATTTGTGGTCACAAAGCCTGGCCTTTGTTGGCCTGTAACAAAAGAACTTATAGGAGGGAGGTGTTGAACCGGGGTGGCCTGCGGCAACGCAAATGGCTGTCTTGTACTACTACAACTACCAGCAGCAAAACAACCCAGTTGTGCCAGGAAGCTGTCATCAGTGCCCACACCAAAGTCACTATGGCTTGCCAACATGGCCACCTGGGTTCCAACTGAAGCTTGGTTGTTGAAACCAATCCCAAGACTTTGTCCATCGTTGTTGAACTGAAACTGCCGCGTGGTAATTGGAGCAGGGGTCTGTGTATACGAATCGCATGCCTGCTCTGCGATTGTTGAATGACTGGGTGTTTGAGTATGCATGCTGTGAACATCAAAGGGTGTTTGTGTTTCCACAGACTTGGTGAACACTTGTTTCTTTGCAGTGTCGATCAAACTTTCACCAGCTTCCAAGGGAATGGCTAGACCAGGTTTAGGAAGGATTGGGCAGAGTTTTGTTCTACTTGGGCACTGTCCACCATTCTTTCCAGAGTTCTTTTCAGTGCATGGGAAAACTGGGATAACAGGTTTAACAACAACAAGGGTCACTGCACTCGCAGGTACTGGCAGTTTTGAACTGGAAGCAAAAACAACAAATAAAGTATTTTATAATGAGACCCCTTTTAAAGATAATTGAAAAATTGCTACTCTTATGCGCATTTAACTATTATAATTTATTGAAAAAATAAAAATTAAACAAATCCATCATTTCTTTAAAATTGTGTTTATGTTGATCACTTGGTAGACTTACCAAGCTGCAAAAGGCAAGCCATAAAAAAATGCGTGAGATACAAACCCAGGTGCAAATAGAATGACACCTAAGATAAGTTAGGCCCGTTCCAAACGCCGCTCCATTCATGTGCCGAACCAAACTGATGAGTTAAGTATGGCAGAAGAGTGACATTTGAATCAGTTTGGTTTAACAGGTTAAGTTTGGTGCAGTAAACAACACTAAATTTGGCAGGGTCTGTCGCACTATGCGGCATTGGAGCGGCAGCTGATTCATATTGCATTCTCCTCATGTGTCAAACCTAATGTATAAATTACTGTAATGTATTTTTCATATAACGGGACTCGTGACTGGCTCAAAATTGAGTGGCATGACCAGTCATACATGAAGCCCAAAGTTGTCGCTAAAAATAAAGACAACAAAATATATGCCTTTGATTTATGAGAAATGGGACTGTATAAGCGAGTTTCTTTAGCGCAAATTCATTTTTTGCTTTTTCTTCGTGATAAGAGCCCAGCTTATGAGATTCCCTTTAACAAGTCGAATTAACTGGGAGAAAAACTGTCTAAATACAAACACTGAACCTTGAGCTTGAATTTGCTTCCCTAAATATTACTATAACAGCAAAAATAATGTCAGTCACAACTTGTTTATCTGGACAGAGTTCTTGAATTCAGAATGCATATTTTCTCGTCAAAAATTGTCACCACTGGCTTCCCAAATCAAGTTCGACGCAAGTATGCCGTCTGAACCAGCCGTCGCTCCAAAGTCGCTCTTAAGTTAAACTTAATCAAGTTTGGTTCGGCACATGAGTGGAGCAGCGTTTGGACCGGGCCTTAACGTGATAACTGTAAATATAGTTTCTGCTGACTCAACTCAGTAACGTGGATGTAGACTGATGTAGAAGAGGAGCGAAAACTCAAGATACATGTATCATTCAAATGGCGTCACCAAGTTCCCTAAAGTTATGTTTCATTACCACTACCTACTCCTTACCTTTCTTTCTTTGTTGTGTAACATTCTGGCAGTTTGTGCATTTGTCTTCGTGCATGAGTGAAGAGTGCTTCCACTGTGGTATAAGGACATCCACATGAACAAATAAACAACTGTCCACATTTAAGCTCATGGCGGTGGCATGTATCTGGCAAACCAAAACCTTTGCCACATTTGCTACAAACATTCTTTTTCTCTGCGTGAACTGTCATGTAATGCTGGAAAAAGAGCAAAACCTGATAATTTATTATTTGGAAAAATAAGTTTGGGTAGACTAATAGTACATGTCTACAGGACATTGGGACATTCCATTTTTTATACATACTCCCCTTACCCGCCGCACCCCTCCCCCCCCCCCTCCATCAGGGGCAAATTTGACAGCTTAGTTTATTTACATTGGCTCATTTGAAGTTTGCATCCTAGGAGTTCAAAATTTTGATGGCTCCTTTAAAAAAAATTTGCAACAGGCCTTTTGCCAGATGTTACCCTCCATAGATGGGGCGGTGAAGGGGAAAGGATGAAAAGAATGAATGAAAAATTAAAAAAAGAAGAATGTCCCACCCATTTCAAGTATTAATTAAATAATTCCTGGATAGTTTATTGTAAGCTTATCAGCAACGAAAGTATCAAATTATGTTGATTGTGATTCTTGATTGTTCCTGAAGTATCGATACGTTACCTGTTTCAGCTGTGACATCCGCGGGAAATGTCTTTTTGTGCCTTGTCCACGTACACAATGTTTAACTGGACAGTAAAAATGTTTCTCAACCCGATTCTTGCTCTGACCGCGAACATAAAGCTGCTTCTCTTCGCTGCTCGAAGCAACTCCATGAGTCTTGATTAGGTGCATCCGGAGACAGGCACGATTGTGAAACACTCTAGAACATCCTTGTGTAGGGCATGGAAGAGGATCTGCATTTTCCTTTCGAGTGAGATCTTCCACCGATGGACAAACGTCTTCCACGGTGGTCGCCATGTTTTGAAATGATGATAGTTGCGAAAAGACTGGTGACCACTCAACCCAGGCCTCCGGTACTTCTCGTCCGCCAATATGGCGGATGGAAGAGCGTTTAGCACTCCAAAGGGAAAACTAACGATAGAGAAGTTCTCATTTCAAGATGAGAAGGAGAGATACAAGAGACAAATAGAAGATCACGCTTTTAATCATGCGGTATGTTATTTCTAAACAGCGTGTCTCTTTTATGAGAGATCATGAGACACGATGCCATGTCCTGGCAATAACTTGCGCACGTGGGAGGCATTCGAATAGTTTTACGTAGTTGCACTAACATTTTATAATTTTGTAAACAGCATAAAATTTGAATTTTTTATAAACAGTTATGTATTAAGTCGAGATTGGATCCACAGGTAGAGATTGTCATCCCAGATTGTTTTCTTGGGAATGTCATCCAATGTTTTCGGAGCATTTCACCAGCTCGGGATCAATTCTGTTTGATTGAACTGCCAGTACATGCCTTTACAGAAGAAGAGTTTATCAGGACATTTATAAAGACTGGTAATATTAGTAAGCTTAAACAATGACGTAATGTGTGGTTCAATTCTACCTGTTACCATCCCCCTGGCCCACAGGGCTTATAAGGAAGATGCGGGTGGGGGAGCTTATGACCGGAATTTTATAGTGTTGGCTTGCACCCCAATTAATACAGCTAACTTCGGGGAGACCGTGATTTTGGCATTTTAATCTGAGATTTTTGTTGTCTCTTTTGAAAAACTGCCTAACGCCACTAAAAGATATTTCCACCCTTGCATAAATGAACACCCCCCCCCCCACCCCCCATGCAAGACCCTGAGATATTCAAACTTTTTGAAAATTCTGATGAATTCTTATTTTCTTACCCCTCAGTAGGACAGAAAAATAACTATGAGAACAAAAACTGGCCAGGGTAAAATTGACCAGCTGCATTACACGAAACTTTCCAATGAAAATTATTATGAAAAATAATAATTGTTATCATTAGGAAAATAATTATGTCATCAAGATAATTATTAATAAAGGTATCAATAATAAATCAATAATATGTTACAGGTCAATTTATTGCACTCAGCTGGGAAACACGCATTGATTCTGGGAACTGTGTGGCAGTTCTTCCAACAGGTGAGATGTGAATATAATTCCTAAAAAAGCTGGGAAGTCTTTCTTGTATTCTTGATGTGTGGTTAAGACTTAAGGTACAGAATGGAGAGAGAGGTGTTTGAGAATACAATTTTTACCCTCAAATCACCCTATTCTAGTACTTAATTAACCTTTCCCTCGGGACATTTATTTCTTGTCCATGTAGTCTGGAAGTTGAAAAACACTTAATATTCTGGAGTTATGTATAACCATTCAAAATTGTTTATTTTTCTGAAGGACTACCACATACAATAATGAGTCAGGACTTCAGTTCTTCAACATGATTTACTTTTCTTAGCAACTGTTCTAACTTTTCTTGGTGAATGAGTAATATCTTTATATTTTTTATTTTTTGTGTAGGAGTACTCATTCTTTCCCTGGACAAAGACACGTATGAGCAGCTGGGACTCACAGGGAAACCATCAGCTTTTCAAAAGAAACACAGATTCAGTAAGTATAATATTACTGTTAGAGAATTCATGTTGGTTATTGTACTATATAAGAAGTTATTTTGCATTCATTATCATATTTTACATTTTTACATTTTATTTTTATTTAGTTACTGTGTTCATTCTTTAAAGTTTTTAACCTATTTTGTGTGGCAAGAGATGAATGTGTGATGAAGTTCACCACTGTTTGCTAGAATCATATTTGGTGTAGACAGCAAGGGTTGATCGTCAAATATAGTATAACCTGGAATTATATTGTGTTGGACTGTCAAAGATCAGCAGTGGCAGATCTAGGGGAGGGGCCTGGGGGGCCCAGGGCCCCCCTTATTTTGAGTGAAAAAAGAAGAAATGACTTAAGGAAGAAAAGCCAGCAGGCAAGTAAAACTAAACTGGGCCCTCCCCTTAGCTCAAAGTCTGGATCCGCCAGTGATCAGAGAGCTTAAGCACCAGTTCTGATAAGGACACTTAATAATTAAGTGTCCTTAATTTTTTATTATGACATGAAATTACATAACATACAAGTCATACATACATACATACTTTATTGGAACTCCCTTTAGTAACTTGAAAATGGACATGATTTAGTTGTAGAAGTGAACCTGGCAGCACCATACTTTGTTCCTGGAAAGAAGCTGTATGAGAGGGTTAGATGGTGTTTAAAGGACAAGCTGGAGCTAACATTTAAATTTCTTATGAGCTGGACAAATGAAGGTCAGCACGATCACAATACGCAAGTGCAAATAGTGTCTAAAAAATAAAGTTAAGTCATGTTAATTGTGAAGTCAAAGTGGTCAGTCCTAACAATTGCAAGAAGTGATTGCTAAAATGAGTTTCACCAACAGTGTAATACCAAATCAATTTCATTTTAGTTAGACCTTTCTTGAAAATTTTGTTTTCTTAAGCTGATTGGCTTAAGAAAAAAAAATTTCCAAAAATGTCTATCACCAATTACAATACTAGATAAATTAATTAAAATAAATACAGTTACTAAGACATGCAAAATGGTCAGAGAAAAATATAAGCTTCCATATGGATCAGATTTCTGACAGTTAATTTGGATTTCACTTAGGTTTCTATCACTGACAGTGTTTGTGAACATTTCAGTGGGGCAGATTGAGAAAACTGTTCGGAATAAATTGAAAGATTTCTTGCGTGTGCTTAAAGCAGCTGTGTTATAATGAAAATGGAAACAAACAAGACATTACGTAGATCCCCATTTAAGATGATTTCTGCAGAACATTTGAGCAATAATGGTAAAAATTAACCTACCTAGAAATCCTCATGGCATGGTATTGTTTTGAATACAGTTAAGAAGAATTTATCGAGACTTACCAGTAAGCTCTCAAGCTGACCCCGTGAGAGAAAATTGAACTTGAAGTTATCTATATTTCACTTAAAACAGACATTTCACTTTAGTTAAAAGTACAATAACACATGCTTTAAGCATTCTTATGAAGTTTGACATCAACCCTCTCGAGAATGCTTGAGAATTTAATCACAGGGTCACTTAGCTATAGAGAAACGAACTAAACTGAGTTGTTTTAAATAGTATTCCAAAAGTTACCATGCTATGAGTAGATTTTTAGTAAATAATTTTAACTTGCACTTATTGCTCAAACTTTGAGCAGAATCCGTCTTAATTTGTTTTGACATTATCCTTGTAGGACAATCATCAACAGGAACACTCCACTCCTTCTTGTACTCTTACAATGGCCAGATGTTGTCTAACGAGGAAAACGTCGAGTGCATTCCAAATTGTCCTAAAGCCCCGCAAATCAGTTTTGAAAAGTCAAGCTTCACAGAAGACAGGACGAGTCCAGAAAATTGTGATGTGTGCGACTGTATGTCATTCTTTGAGTGGCTTGGCTGCATTGCCTGTGGAGTTGATTGGTAAGAACAGGATTTTCATTGCCACCTTCAACACCATCACTACCTCATTTAAGTGGCCATTAAAATGAAAGCCAATGAGTAATAATATCATGTGGTACTTTTTATTTTGCTACACAAGATGGTTCTACCTGTTATTATAAGCGTTTTGTTGAAACCCTAGCATGTGACCCATTAAATGAAAGATTTTAAGCAGTACTTTCATTTTGTACTGTTTGACAGTGGATATCTGCCTAACAATAAGGTGAATGAATGAATGAATGAATGAATGAATGAATGAATGCATGCATGCATGCATGCTTTATTTAATGTGGATATACGTTTAGCTTGAGAGCTAGTTTACAGGTATTCCACCTAATAACTAATGAAAACCAAACAACTAAACAATGCTGATATCACAATTCATCAAGTGAATACTGATTAAAACTATTCAAAACTATTATTACAATATTACTGCTGCAGTCAACATACTGTTAAAAATAATGTCACAAATTTACTAATCCCCGAAATTTAGCGATCTGGTTTTGCCTTCTTCAGATAGTCTTTCAGCGGTGGATCTAGGGGGAAGGGTGCAGGGGGTGTGCACCCCCCCCCCTCAAGATGAAGCCTTCTTCTTTGTATTTGCTTTTAAATTTTGTTTACCTCACAAGTCAGTTGTGCCATTCCTTAGTGGTGCACCCTCTCCTAAAAAAAATCCTGGATCCAGCGGCCCTCATCTTTGGTTGAGACCCTGGTGTGTGACCGTTCAAATGAAAGCTTGTGAGCACAACTTGTATGTGGTGCTGTTTGTTTCAGAACTTGGCGTAATGAAATTTTCTTCTATAGAGGTTTTACCGTATTTTGCCATCATCTTGTTCACCAGTGTACTTGATATACCATCACAGAGACAACCTGTGCCAGTACTACGTTAATCCAATCCATTTCTTAGCTCTGCAGCTTCACCGGACAGTTATGTGTCAACATTAACATGTCCAGAACCATCATGTGAACTGAAACAATTGATCAAGTGTCGCTGGACTGGGATGATCACAAGTAATTGCATTTTATCAATGATGCAATCAGTAAGGTACATGTATAACCCTAACTAGGTAGTTAATTTTATTGTTTATACTAAGGTGTAATGTTATTGCTATTATTACAAAATGTAGAGCTCTACATATGTAGATTCATTGCTATTTATAAGTAGCCAGGGCATTTAATCGACAGTTACTATAAACAGCTTAAACAAGTGGGTCTGTAGTATCCAAAGTACAATCATAATTTATTTCATATGTGATTGATTGATTGATTGATCAATTTATGTACATGGGTGTAATTTTATTGTAATGAATGCAAATTTATTTATTATAATTCCTTTTCTCACAGAGAGCTTGTAAAGTCAAATGGTATTCCTTGGATTGCAGTGACTGTGTGGGGATTTACTGACTGCCCAGTCACATGGAAACAGAATGAACATGGACACTTTTTTAGTGGGGAGAACTTTTACACTTTTGTGATTTTCCCCAATGATAGATACTGGCTCTACACAGCTATGGGCAGTCATGATATCGGCCTATAGCCAGTTAACTATTTTATTCCTGACATAGCCACTGTTCAAATGGAACAGTCACAATATTGCATTTTGGAAAATGTCAGAACTAACACAGAAGCAGGTTGTAGTCAGAAAGGAGAGTTGTAACATTTGGAGCTTTACATGCTTTCATGTTTAAAAGCAACATGAGAAATTAATAATATTTATCATCTTGTTCTCAGCATGCACTGCAGACCTTGTATATGTGGAACGTAGAGTTTATAAACAAGCGTTATCTATGTAATATTTATTCATTGTTTTAATTTGAAATTTGTTTTTGTTGAACTGGGTGTGTCAGGTATGTTATGATTGTTTATTTCTTAATAATATTATGTGACTGCACAATAGAGATGGTATAATTATTATTTAATATACAAAAGCTCTTTTAGAAAATTTTATTTACACCAAGTCAACTACAGTATATAAAAAAAGAGGATACAAAAGAACAGACTAAAAAAATCACTATTACTAACAGCTTTAACTTGTTTTAAAAAATAAAAATAAAAGTGTAAATCACTAAAAAGTGAGTAAAAATACAAGAAATTTTAGAAGAATTTTGTGTTAAATTAATTAACTAGATAATCCTAAGCCCACAACAGAAATGGAATAAAAATATTGATTCAGTTTAACTAATATGGCATTGGATTGAGTCCACTTTTGCAATGATAAATTATTAAACTCTTGTTGTTTAGAAAAAAAAAAAGTAATACAGTAACAACTTACTACTACTCATAAATCAAAGCTAACCATCATGGCAGAGAAAATATTAAAACAGGGCTCAAAAAAGTGCCATCTGGTCGTCCAGGACAAGTAGATTTTCCTACTGGGGAAGTAACATGCCTGACCGGCAAAGGATCAGGCAAGTCGTGTACTAACTAAATCATTGAAAGATCAGACTAAGACTTGTCCAGAGAAAGCATTTTTTTGAGATACTTGTCCGAAGGGCTAGCTGGAGTTCAAGTGTTTTTCGAGCCCTGATTTAAAAAAAACAGCTAACATAAACTACCCTGTTTAAAAAAAAAACTATGTACAGCTGTAATTATTATTACAATATGCTTAACAGCAGTCATTCAAATTAAATCTTTACTGAATCAGGTGCATGTATTCTGTCCTTTCACCCACTGGAAAGGATTCTGTTCTTTGAAGGACTGACTGAATCTTTTTTCGACCAAATAAATCATTGGCTTCACTCTCTCTAAGGCAGACACTCCTCGAAGTGGATCTACCCGTCTCATTTAGAGTGGTGTCTACCTTCTGAGAAACAGGTGATGAGTAATGAGTCACGCCTGCCCTGGGAAGGTTTGCACCCTACAGAGAGTGCACAGTGTCCGCTTTGAAAACGCTGACTGTACCCTTTTTTGCAATAGAATTTCTAAAACAGCTCTAACTCATCAGCACGGTGTTTCATTGGAATCATAAACTGCTGTCCATCAAATTCCAGTTAAAGGGGCTGACAGAAATAACAAGTTAGATCATACATTCAAAGAGATACAATGTTGATGAATGTTTGTCCTACAAGTTTGGAACACATACTTTTCAAGACTTATGGCAGCGTATCTTGATGCTGACGAGAACTGCCTGCTGCTCAGTTTTCACCGTTGGTTTTCTTTTCTGTCAGGAAAAATGAGTTCTTGGAAAGGGAATGTAGATTAGCAAGATATGATGGCAAGGGTACATCAACAAAACTCTGTGATCCAAGATTCTTAATACCTTCTATTACACTTGGCCCTTCAAATGTAACATTGCAGGAGATCGGTCTGTTAAGTCGGGGGAAGTGCTGTCTACTGCGTAGCCTTGTTTGCATCTTAAGGAAGTAAATTATTAAAAAAAAACAATGTTAATACATGTAGTTTTGTGAATCCACCTCTTGCAAGGGATGCAAATCAAGGTCACAGGATAACCCTCTACAGGGCTCGAAAAAAGTGCAGTCTGGTAGTCTGGGACCAGTAACAGCAGATTTTCCTGCTGGGCAAGTAACTTTTCATTCTCACTTGCCCGATGGGAATGGGATCAGGCAATTTGCCTGCCAACTAAATCATTAAAAGAACAACCTATAGACTTGCCCAGGGAAAGTAACATTTAAGAGCTACTGTATTCATCCAAGGGCAAGCTGGAATTCAAGTTTTTTTTTCGAACCCTACCTCTAGTGTTATTTTTTCAGTCTGAGATTATATAATAATTTTAATATAACCACTACATGTACATGTAATCACATAACAATCACTCTACAAGAAGATAGAGTTGGCTATAGTTAAATCTGAAACCTGGTCTACTGTGCACAGGAACAAAGTTCTGATTAGGTCATGATCACCGCCTTCTACATTAGGCTGATTTAGCAAGAGAACGGGAACGTCACTTGACGACGGCGCGCGCAGAACAAACACCCAAATACGGTCAAATTAGAACAGAATCCAGATTATTCCGCGCGCCCTGCAGTCGTCATCTAACCATATTTGGGTATTTGTACTGCGTGCGCCGTCGTCAAGTGACGTTCCCGTTCTCTTGCTAAATCAGCCTATTACCCTACCCATGACACGGCTTTTTTTTTTTATTATGGCAAACAATTTTAATTTGCATTAGAAAACAGTCTTAAGAAAATACATGCACTGATTGGTTAAAAATTGTGTTTCTATAACTCGATAGATACACAGAACTAGCACAAGCTGTTGAAGACGTAATGATGGCATGAGCAAAGAAAATTTACACTTTATATTCAAAGCTAACAAGTTGTTTTCCTTTTTTTCGTTGTGGTGTTTTCTAAAAGAAATAGAAAACATGTTCTCCATGTTTCTATCAAGTTATTGAAACACTCGTGAAAGTTTGGGAGAACTTGAAAAAGCTGTGGAAAAACTCGCCTGTGGCTCTTGTTCCCACAGCGTTTCTCGTTCTCCCAAACTTATAACTTGATGGAAACATGGTACATGTTTTCTATTTCTTAAATAATGTTTGAAGTACATGTACATTATAACCATTAGAGGGCATTTCTGCAAACCTTAAATTCCACTCTTTCCAGTACTGGTTGTGGGTTGGAGCCAAATGCACTGTCTGTGAAATGTTGCCTCTTCTGGTCCTCCTCCTTGTTCTCACTTGTTATTTCCTGACTTTGCGTGACTTCAGTCTGTCTCTCTGCTTATTTGAAAAGAAGGGACTCAGACAAGTACATTTAAGCTCAAGGGGAATAGTTACAAGACTAAAAACATTTCCTGTGGTCTACCATTAGTTAGAAAAAAAAAGTTGGGAAAGTTTGGTGAACAGGTTAGAATTATTTTAAAAATGTGAGCTGTAGCCACATCTTTTAATTAGGGTTTCTTTTTTGATTGATTTTTCCAAAGAAAGGACCAATTAATATTACATTGGTTAGTATAGTATCACAGACACACAAGGCATGCATACAGGACATTATTATCCAGTTGTTTCTCTAAGTGTATGCATTGCAGCCCTACATTGCTGACCAAAATTCAAATATTACATGTAATTATTTAATTAGTACCATTGAGGGAATTATTATTATAAATACAGGGTGTATATGAAGGCTGGGCTCTCAGTAGCCACATAGAACACCTGAGTACTATACAGGTATTTTCCTAAGTCAACTGTTTTAAGGAACATTGTCACAGGTGTACTTTTTGTTTTCTTGCTGGTCATTCACAGCTCTCTGATTCATACAATAGTCACCAGTTCTTCGTTGTCTCACCTTTTTCTCTCTTTCTTTTCCTACTCAGAGGGTTCCCATCTAATTGGCTTAACCTGTACATACTAAATGGCCCCTAAAAAACATGAAGGTTGTAATGAGAATTATTTTACCATGATTATAAAAGCCATCTAGACCAAATGAAAAACAAAAGATATGGGATGACAATCACGGGGGACACCGCGACAGCATCTACGAGAGACTGGGATGGGTGAAGGGCATTTCTGAATGGAATTAGAGACTGTCGGTGTCCTGTGGGGCATACATGATAAGGGATTAGATGACAGACCAAAGGGTATTATCATTGTTTTGTGGGGTACATGTAGCTCTCTGATTATCTCTTTGAATTCTGATCATTACTCCTAATGATATTTTGCTGATATTTGTTTGACTCATTTTTCTGAAAACTGCAGGAAGGTCACAAGTCAATGATTTTTTGTCTTGGCTTAGTGCTCAAGGTCTAAGTATGCACTTAAATTTATGAACAATTTTTTTAAATATATAATTATATACATGTATGTATTAATTTTGATGTACATGTATAATTATACAGTATGTAATAAAATGCAGTTGCTTGGTTTGCATTAGACCAAACTTAACACGGACAGAATTTATTTAGTAACTTGCAGTTTGTGAATGTATTGTTAAATAAAATTTATTATCCTTACTAGCTTTTATAGCCAAATTTGTGCAGAGACCAGATGTGGCTATTACCCTGCACATATTGCAGACACCAATATTTCATGTTAATAAGTGGTGCAGACTGTTATTAAAAGAACTTCTCCCACCTGACTACTTTTATTAAGCACAAGTTCCTTCAGTGAAAACATGTCTCTTCCTGACAACTTTACTTCTTCTAGAGTCTGACAATGTAGTAGAGTCGAAAGCGTCTGCAAGGAAGCAAAATCAATAAAACACATCATTCAGACAATAGGTGAAAATTCAGATAATAGACTACAGTATTTACAAAATCTGGGTAAGGCTCAGGAGAATAAAACAACAGAAATAATTTATTTGCGACCTACAGTACTGTAGTAGTCTACTACTACGTGTGCTGTATATGTAAAGTTGAATTTTGATGTTTTGAAAATGTCCTATTGATTCAATTGACATTTATGGGGGGGTTAATAGAAAATACAGATTTATATTTAGCTGCATGCCTGCATCGGGTTTCCTTTCTCTCTTTGGTTTGAGGCCATGCGAGCACTTGCCATTTTTTCTTTCTTTTTTTTTTTTTTTTGGATATAATTATGTATTTGCGAATGACAGTTTGTAGTTCTGTATTGAACAGAATGGTTCAAATCTCACAGCTATAAAATTAGTGTGTAGTAATTCCTTTAATCTTACCTTACTAATCTTAAAAATAAACATTTAATGAACAATTGAAAATGTAAAAAAAATTAAAGGATCTCTTACTTGCAAGATATACTGTTTGTAGGCTGCTTTGATGGCAGAACTGAAAATGTATTCTGAGTTAGGATAGTAAACAAGGAATACAGTGTTGCTGAGCAAACTTGCAGATGTGCTGTCACTAATGCGAAGCCGTGTCCACAGACCATTTTTCCACAGATGGACAAAGATGTCCTATAAATTGAATTAAAAAAAATAACTGCTACATGTATACAGTATGATACCAGTTAAAAATTCTAATACTACTAATGCATGGCAAGTTTATCCTCTGTTTTTAACTGGTAATACTGTAGCTGTGAGTATGAGCAGAAGTTATCCTGAAGAAGAATGAATAGGAGACCTTCATCTCCTAGATTTGTGTTCACTTGTTTTCTTTTTTGAAAGAGCATCTCAACCATAAACAAAGATGTTGTCCAGGGAAGCATCTATTATTTTGCTTACCACTTTGAAGTACAGTCCTAAACAGGATTTCAGCTGGGACTTAAATTTCCAAGGGTCTGATGTATTCAACTCTTTTTCAGGCTCTAAATTTGAGGCAAGATTAGCACACAGTCACACACGTGTAATAATATTTGTCTGGTTACAGTATCATAAGGGTCAGGAATCCATTCTAATGATATTGCATTGTGGCTAATTAGTTCACTCCCACATTAAGCTTGTATACAGTGGAACCCCAATTCACTCATCCTATTATGACAAAGTCCCTGAACAACATCCTAGCCCATCCAAACATCCAAACATCTTAGCCCATCCAAAGTTGTGAACTGAAGGAATGGAATACAACCCCAGTATCATACCGTATGAGCCTCTGTTGTATTAAACAGATTTTAACAGTCCCATGGCACATTGCTTTTGATACCTGTGTTTTATTCACCTTTTTCTCTGAAACCCTTGATCTCTAGGTCGCCAAAAATGGCAGCAAGCAAGTTAACACAAACTTTGGTTTTTTGATGGTTAAGCTGATATATGTGCCATTGCCATGGCAACATAAATAAAAATGAACAGGCCTTTAAAATCAGTTTTGTTTATTTGTAGAAAATCTAGTCATTAGGTTTTCTTTATAATTTGCATGCAACAAGCTTGTAACGATTCTCACAAGTTAACACCATTTTGCTAATAATTTAACAGAGAGATCTTTAATTATCCCTCGTTGAAGGTTCACTGGAATATCTAGAATTTCCTTTGTTGAAGTTCAATTATTTTCAATACTCCAGTTACTTATTTCCTACAGTATTTTCGTCCAAATTTCGTGAAATTCTAATGAGTGGTTCTCGAGAAATAGGCGTATTTCCGAGAGTACAATTTTTTATTCAATCGCAATATTTTGACTAACTACACATGTGCTGCATTTAACTGGGTTCTTTCGGTAACAAAGAAAAAGTTGAGAACTGTTGGGTTCTTTGCATCATTACCTTTTCTAACATATCTTCGTCATAAAAGACAAAAGCCATCAATACACTGCGTTCAGTTATATAGAAAAATAGCACAGATACTGCGGGTGTTGAGTAAATAGAATGATCGCTCTCTTGGCGGCATGTTTGTTTTTTGTAATCCTTGCGCGTGCGCTGAATTGCATCAGCAAAAGCGCGCGCGAAAACTGTGTTTGGCCACCTTAAGGTGGCTCCACAGGGTAATCATTTATGGCATTGTGCAGGCAAGTTTATGTTTTAAATGCTGTTTTTGCATTTGCTTTCACACCCAGTCCTTTCAAACTTATTACATGTAATAATGATTAAATAGTGTTTTGCTATCATCTTTGCTAAAATTTTGGGTTTTGGTCTTGAATTATAAATGCCAATGAAAACAAACGTGTTTTTTACTGTTTGTGTGGCTTTTAGCTGNTGGGTTTGTTAAATTCGAGATAAAGCAATGGTTCTTGGCTTACCAAGACCAATTTTGTGTTTGGTTTAGTCTCACTCGACTGCGGACCGAGACTGCTCAAGTATTTTTTCTGAGTCATTTTATAAAACAGAAACGGCTTTATCTTTCTTCTTCCTGCTAGACTATCCTTCTGGTACCTGTTCAATGCCTGGAGAAGACTTTCTTGTACATTATCTTTTGCCCAGTCATATAAAATATTATCTAAATTCTTAAAACTTTCCGCCATTTTAACACACAGAGGGCAAAAACTTTGAAATCATGACGTCAATTGTGCGTCTGTCCTCTAATAGATCATAGGCGAGAACCAATTGATCAAATTGCGAGAATAACTTGGGTTATTATATAAAACTCAATAGTGCATGCTATGGCGTTTACCATTTGTTAATTTTGTGCTCGTGTTAACTTCAGAAAATATCCAAAAACACTGACGTTTTCCTTCGAGTGCGGGCAGATTACTTGAGCTTTCATCCTCAGCGCGCGTGCAATCATAAAACTATAGCAAGCCACCTTAACTACAGGCCCTGGAGTACATGTATACAGTACATGTAGCTATTCACGATATGCTATCTAAGTTTTGAACCTTCACTTACCAAAGCCTTTTAGTTTATATACAGTCCATTTCTTACAACTTGGATGAGCCTGGTGATCTGAAAATATGCGGGAAACGAACAAAGAAACAAGGATTTAACTTAATATTTTTCTTGCAAATATAAATAATGCAGTTCCCAAAATGATACACAAAACAGATCATATTGTTACTGTAGAAGGAGAACGGGAAACCGCTAAACAGAAGCTTGGGTAGGTTGGTACATATAAAGCAGAACAACATATGGATTATAATTTTGGTATATGAGGTTTCTCTGGCTTTACTCCCACCAGCTCTGTTTCAATACGAAGATCAATCCAAGAAATATTAATTGAATGAACTTACACAGAAGATCCAGGAGACCAATATGATCAGTTGTTACTTCTTTAGCAAAACAGCTCTTCAAAACTCGATTGACGAATGCTTTCTTCGTTCCTTCCGTATCTAACAAGCCTTCCTCCAAAATTCCTTGTTCAATAAGTCCATGAAGCAATTCTTCCTTCTTGAATTTGTTGAACAATTTACACAAGTCTCGGCGACGGGAGTCATCCGCCATCTTGAACTTTTTCTTGTTTCCAGTTTCCAGTTTCCAGACGAATCGTGCGCCAAAACATAAAGTAGCCAATCAAAAGAGTGAATCGCTTTACTAGGGGGTGGTGTTAGACCTATTCTTCCAAAAAGTCTAAATAAAACTGAAAAAGAAAAACCATAAAAATATAATAGACTTAGACAATACGAAAATATTTGAAGTTGTATTTTTCTCCTGTAAGAGCTATATTTCGTAAAATGTCAGTGATAAAGAGATCTTTTCAATTCCTATAGTTAACACCCACCCGGTCGGTAAAGATTTGCTCTGACCAACTAAAATACAACCGCTGACCGCTTGAAACAAGCCGGTGAAATTTTCAAGATGGCGTCGATGGCGGGAATATCGGACATTTATCGCAATGTTTTAGGAAGTGATTTGTCTCAGTGCGTGGAAAACTCAAAAGTCCTGGTGGTTGGAGCAGGTGGTATTGGATGTGAGCTTCTAAAGAATTTGGTTTTAACCGGTTTCAAGGACATTGAAGTAGTAAGTATTCAAATCGATTGAGTCCGGACACGAAAAACGTGCGAAGAAACATGTGTGCTTTCCTTTGTTGCAGATGCGTTAAAATTTTGATTTTCGCTACAGTTTCATTGGATTTTTATTCAAGACATCTCATTCCATCCCAAATCTGCATTTCATTCAATTATTATTGTACATAAGTAGTGCCTTCGATCACAGGCTGCCTGTGTGGTCTGCGATAACAGAGCTATTCTTTACTTCCCAGGCATCAGATTTCAGTACCGTTTCATATTTCAGTAGATCCAGGGAGGTTATATCTATGAAGCTGGAAACAAGATCATAGTTACGATGGTCATTTTGATAATCAGTGATCTGCGCAATAAGGATGTTAATTAAGTACAGTTTCACGTTACATCGTTACATAACAAAGGGGACGGTGAATGTTGTTGTTGTTGTTTTTTCGGAGGGGTAAGGGTGTAAAAGGAGAACTCTCTGCTATTGCGTGTATATGGACTGGAGGACATGCTAGTGTAGTTTAGATTAGATTAACATTGTAAGTTCCAGAAAATATTCATACCCTTCCCAATCGCTCTGGAAATCCAGTGAAATGACTTCTGTCCTTTATTTGCCTGATGGGTAAGTGAAGGTTTTTCGAGAGAGGACATTCAAATTACAGACTGAAGTCTAGTATGCTGTAGCAGGTGACTCTTGGGTCAGTAAAATACAGGGCGAACTTGAAAATTAAATTTCCTTTGTGCCATTTAAATTGGTACCAGCAGTTTTCAGAGGAACCTGACAGAAATGCTTTGAGAATGACTTGATCCTCTTTGTGTCTTAGTGGCACATCTGCTTTACAGGATAGATGCTACCAAAACTAGGAAATAGCTGTAGCTCTTGACTTGAGTAGCTATACCAGGCACGGATCTAGGATAAATGGCAACTGATTTCTGAAGCAATGAAATTATGCCGCCGACTGGCACAAGCTTCTAGAGGGGTCCTAGGTCCTTCCCCCCCAGAAAGTGTTTTGGATTTTTTGTTCAGTCTGTAATCATTAGTACATTGTAAACATACAGGTTAATGATAATGTGTTATTTTTATTTATTTATTTATTTATTTTTATTTATTTATTTATTTATTTATTTACTTTTTTTTTGCAGATTGACCTGGACACCATTGATGTTAGCAACTTGAATCGTCAGTTTTTATTTCAGAAGAGACATGTGGGAAAGTCCAAAGCACAGGTACTGTACATGACTGTATATTATAGTGTGACATGTTTGTAGCTTTTAAAGATCATAATATTTTTAAGAGCATCCAAAACTGGTATTAGAAATAACTGGAAGAGTATACATTAATTTCTTATTCAATGCCAAATGCAAGTAAGATTAGCCAGCAAATATAGATGTATTTGTACAAATCCTTTTGTGTTTGATGGCAAGAGTAAGATCTGAGCTCAAACAAATGACCATTCATCAGGACACAGTGAAAAGGCTGTCTGATAGCCCGGGACTAGTGAAACAATCAGTTGGGCTAGTGCTGTCTTATCACAGGTTGCCTGACAGGCAAACATGAAGTGGACATGAGTGAAACACTGTTGCTTTTTTTTTGTTTTTTGTTTTTTTTTCCTAATGGCAAACTTCACACGTTGTGTTTAACAGACAGTTTGTGAGAGGAAGTGAAACAATAGAAATGCTTTTTCTAAGATACAATGTAGAGTAAAATGTAAAATTTAAGCGACTGAAGTCAATTTTTTGCCTGATCGCATGTTCCGACAGCGCGGTGGCAGTGCAAGACAAAAACTTGCCATAACAAGGTTATCACATATTTTCATCGTTATCCATGTAGTTAATAGTTTGCTCAAGTAAGCATATGTCTTGAAGCATATGTAACCGTGAAAGCAAGGAGCACTGTCCAGAGTGGTAGCCAAGATTTCATTTGGTTATTTATAGTACGACTGAACAAAATGTGTGACAAATTAAAAGGACATTAACACATAAAATGAATTTACTATCATTTACAAACTACAAAATAAGACAAAGCGTATGACTTTAATTATTGACGTATTCCTTTCCTGAAAGAAAAATTTCAGCGATATTTGGCAAACAGCTGTTTTAAAAAACATGTTGCGTGACGGCGTTACTTACGTGTGTAAATTAATTTGATATGTTGTTTTGACTACGTGTAAATTAAAACTTCGACTGGGTTTTTTAAAAGAGCTTAAATTTTCTGTACTTTNACTTGGCCATTTTGATATTTTCAACATGCTTTTTCCATTTCTGGCATTCGTTAAGTTATAGCCCATAATTTTATGAAAAATAGGTCGCGTGATGGCTTACACTGTAGCTGCAAAGGGCCTATTAGTTCATCTAAGCTCCGTATTATTAATTAACATTATTTTTGCTTATTATTATTTTAATTAATTATCCTTATTAATAAAATAATTTCAGGCTAGCTCCTCAGAGATTTGGGCTAGTAAGATGAAATTACAGCTTGCCCAAGGGCAAGCAGAGTGTTTGAATTTCATCTCACCCTGATTCATTGGTTAGGAGATGTTTAAAGGTGATATGGTTAGGCAGAGAAAAACATCTCAAGGGACATAAATCTGGAAGTAGATAAAAGAAAATAAAATCCCTGACAGTTTCTTATTTGGAAGAAAAGGGTACAGAGTACTAGAATGTCTTGACTTTACGTACATGTAGGCAGAAATTCTATCCTGGTTGAGCAGAGAATTAAATAATTTGTTAGAAATGTTCTGGTTAATTATTTTGTGGTCTTCTAGTTTATGTATATTTTGTTAACCATTGACGACGATTTATTTCATTCACTGTTCTCTTTCAAAAAGCAACTAGTGCTTACTAGTGTACAACATTCTTTGACTAAGATGTGGATTTGACTCAGTTGACCGAGTTAATGCTGTGGTCCTTTAAACAACTGTAATCAAAGATAATTTGTCACTACATTCATTGAACAGGTCTCACGTGAGAGTGCACTGCGATTCAATCCTGATGCAAACATCAAAGCTCACCATGATAACATCATGAGGTAACGTAAGGCACAGAGTTAGCAAAGTGAAATTCAGTAATCAAAAAAAGATGCTTGTCATTTGTCAGGCAGTGTGAGATTTTATAGAATGATAGTGAGTAACTCACCCCTCCTTCCATCCATGCTTTGCCTGTTAGGCAGGCTTTGGTACGTACTGATACATGGACATTCCATGATTACCTCCACCCATTCAGCATCTTAATTAACAATAATCAATTCTTACTATATGCAGAGCTGTCATTAAGTTTTGATTTGACTGACTTGTAGTCTCGATGATTTTCACACCCGTAACAAAGTTGTTACTTTATGGGTGAATTGTATCAAAAATGGGCAGTTTCATCTGCAACATCAAGGGTTCATCAAGCATACTCAGCTGTAACAGGTGTTACGAGTTATGGCCCTTAATGACATGCCTGATATGTTATAATCAAATTCTTCTAATCAGTTCTTGATAAACGAAAAGAGATACATTGTATAGTATATTAATCTTCTAGCAGATAATGCGAATTTGTCTGTCGATTACAACTTACTCCAAGTAAATTCTTTATTGCTAAATTAAAATGTTTAACATTTTTACAGCCCAGAGTATAATGTGGAGTATTATAAGCAGTTCAATGTGGTGATGAATGCTCTGGACAACAGAGGTGAGACCTGTGGCTTCCATATGCTGGGCTAAAGGTCATTTATTTTGCTACCATGGAGGAGGGGGGGGGGGGTAACCCTTGCTCTCGTTGTTTTTGTCAGCTGTCTCAACAATTGTCTGCATTGGTCCAAGTGTTCACTATCCCGGTTTCTGTAGCATGAAGAGACTAGAAGTATTTCTACTTCCCCCTGGATGGGATGCTAAGTATTAAGTGGCAGTCCCGCTAAAAGCGGTCCACTCGACTTTGGGACCAAAAATAATTTTCCTTCATTTTTTGTCAGTGAAAAGGGTTTGACACATATAAAAAAGCAATTTATTATTTTCCAATTCCTCATTTTTGCTTTGCTATGAGCCAAAATTGAATTTTGGCCGAACTGAGGTTGCCAACCGTGATCAGAAAGGTAAAATTCACTGAAATTGTGAAGCATGCTACGTCGCCTAAAATGCAGCTCACGGAATTTCGTTTTCATTCGAATTTTAAGTCACATTCATTACTTTGACTAATGAAATATGGAAACTTTTCAAAAAATTCTAAGCTTACCAGCGAGGCTGGAAGACACCCTACTCCGAGGCCTTTGATCACCTACTAAAATTTAGCCAAATTTGACGGGGAAAATCTCA